AAATTGCACTTAAACATACGTTGAGCTAGAAGAGCTCGAAAATTCTTTTGTTCTACGTGCTCGAGAATCTTATAGTAAAAAAAAAAAATTTAAGTGAATAATGATTAAGATTGTTCACTGCTCGTGTTAATTTATGACATTGTTATTCAAGCTGATTAATACGACAATAATTATAGATACGCTCATTTTATCATATAATTGCGAAACATCTATTTTCGATAACATCGGAAAAGCAAATATGGAATCAAAGTGTCGGATATATTTCTTTTATGAATTTCAAATGAAGTCTATTGACGGAAAAGTAGATCTTATTTATTGCGATTAACAACGGGAGAGAATAAAAGTATCTGTAAAGAAATTGCGGAATATAATGACAATAACGTGACACGAATTCGAGATACCAATTCCAGACGCCTGACTCACTCATTCGCAACTTAATCGTGGCGCAACATGCTACCTATTATGTACGAAGCAAGTGGCGGATGTTAAGAAGGGGCCTAGCATCTTCGAAACGCTTTATAGACGTGTCGGTTTCACGAATTAAGCCGGCCTTTTCGTGCTCTGAGCGTCCGCATTCGTTCTGGCTGTTACACGACTCCTAATAACGCGATTGCCAATTAACGAGTGCAATGTTCGAGGAACGAGAACACGTGTATGATACACGTTGTGATATCAAGAGATATCTACGAAGAAACTTTTATTAAAAATTGACAGAAAACGCACGCAGAGTTACAATATTAAAATACCCGAACTGCTCTTTCTCCAAGTCTTAGGGTCAATTTCACCACCAATCTCGGTTGGCTCCGGTTAAACTATATTTTTGTCTCTTTTCAAATACGTTCTTTTAAAAAGAGACAAAGGTATATTTTAACCGGAGGTTGAGGTTGACCGAGGTTGGTGAAATTGGCTCTTAGTCGTGTTCTCTTGATATTACGCAAATATCGCGAGCAAGGAATGCAGAAACGTGTAACAGCGTATGCAGAACACTATTATATAGCAAAACTCGCGTTCGTCCCCCGAATTTGGAGCTGCGCGCTCAGAGTAGCGTAAGAATTAATTCAATCGTGTTACATTCGCGCCCGCGTTACTCGTCACGTTTGACAAACGACAGTGGCGGAGTGCAATGCCTCGCTCGTAGGGTGTAACGATACAGAACTTTAGTTCTAATGCGGCGCATGAGCGTACCTAAGCTAGGTTCGCACGGAGCGCACACTGAATTGACGCGTACACCGCGAAACATTATTTCCGGACGAAGTGGCACATAACGCATTGGGCCCCCGAGTTTACCAAACTCGTATCCGGGCGCACAGTCTGTAGGATCATTAACCGATTTCGCCGGGGAAAGAAGATGAGGAATAGGAAAGTCGCGTCTCGTGAAGCGTACGTATTGACCTTTGTAAGGTTGATCATCAGATCCTCTCGCATTTACAAAATATGTAACAAATTAATAGAGTTCTGGATGACCTATCGAAAGTTGTTGATCGATTTTAGAGAGTTCCGGCATTTAAAATAATAAAAAAGTTATTTGAAAAATCGAGGAACTAACTTCGCAACTTGTCTCATTTTATATAAAAATTGCATTTTTTTTAATTCTGAGAATATTTAAAATAATATACTTTTAAATTATTTTTGTTAAAATTGAAAATGTTAGGATTTTAAAGAGGAAAATCCAGAAATCGAGTAATCTTTATTTTGAAAATGTCGGACTTATTTCATAGAGCTCACGCATGCTTCCACTTTCAAACCAGTTAATTCTGTTTTTCGACGATTTATTCATTTTTTGTGATTGCATATTAATTTCTGATCATTGAATAATCGACTAATTGGCTGTACGCAAGTTCGTCAGCCATGAGAAGAGTGAATCGTACGAATTGATTTCGCGGAAAAAGAAATAAATCCTTATTTGTGATCAAAATATTATTGTTATTCGCGACAACAAGTTTGTTGTTTTGCGAAATTCGAGATAATACAAAATAAAATATATTGAGAATCTCGAGATAAGATAGTATAATGCAATGTGTTTGCGAATAAAGTCCATAAAAGTCAATTAGCTGAATAATAATGTAATGTAATAATCATGTAAAGTCACGTTTATATTAGTTTATATTTATATAAATTTTTGAAGATGTGCAAAGGAAATAAACATAAGTAAAAATTTTCTTTCTTTTTTTAAAAATGAAAACATCGATCAGAAAATTGTCTTGTATTCAACAGATTTCTTCTCTTGTATTATAAAGAAATAATCAGAAAAAATCGAATGTCACAATTTCAGCATAAAAACGCATTTTTGCAATTTTATGTCTCCACGAATAAAAGCATACATATATTGTTTATTATTATCGTTAACGTGCATTTTGACACGAATAGCATTTTATTAATTCACCGTAAACGTACTCCTTTGACCAGCGTCGAATCAGAAGGAGGGAAGGTTTCGCGCAACTCGAAGAAAGTAATTAGTTCGACGAAATTCGGAAGCACAGTTTAAAGTATTTTTTTACTCGCAGCCGCGGAGAAGCGCGATGCGCGAAAGAAGAAAGAGAAGGAAGGAGAGGGAAAGAAGAGGAGTGCAATATTGACGCGAACGGGGATTCAGATACGCCGTTATCTGCCAACCCCCGACACACGCTTTTCGTCCTGTGAAATTGCTCCGCGAGAGCTTTTACGGACCTTTTTCCAGCGTTTCGCTGTATCCACATTGCTCACGTGCAATCAACGCGTGTCGACCTCTGCCCCTGATATATAATATCATACGATCGGATGCGTGTGATGGATGTGTGCAACACACAATTCATGCTAAAACTTATTGAACTGAATAAGAAACGGACCTTGAAAATATATAAGCACGAAATGAGGTGAAGCTCAATCCGTATTTTATATTAATAATTATTAACGCGTGTCTGGAAATCTAATAATTTTTCAACACGACGCAAAAGTCGTCGTTTCGACGATGGCAATCGGGATTGTACTCGCTGCGTTTCTTCTTAATATGAATCTTAGATTTCGGGGGAAAGTTCGGTTTTCTTTACGCCTACTATAACGTGCTTCATTCCGCGGAACGTAAAAGGGGAGGACGGGTTGCCGGGTATTGAAGAAGGACACCTTTACGGTGGAGCATGATGCTGGTCCTGCGATTGGCGGGAGGATGCTGCGGGTAGAGAAGGCTGACGGAATATCGTATTACATCTCTGCGAAAGACGCGGGATTATTCGAGTTAGGGTCTCGCGAGGGATGAAACGGAGGGAAGAAAACTGCGAGGCGAGGCGAAGAGGAGAAAGCATAGGGAAACGTAGAGCAAGCAGCCGATTCTCTATTAGAGGGTAATACGTATTATCGATTTTTTGGGATGAAAACGGTAGGTTATCCCGGTTCAAATCATGACAAATGTAGAGATATACACCGACGCGCGCGCAACCGTGCACTCTCCGTCGTGTGGGTTCGTCGGTTGAAGCGCTTCTCGCGACCGCACCCTGGAAAAACTTTTCCAATCTCTCTTCGCCTTCCCCTTCCCCCATCACCTCCTCCGCTGCCGTGAATTTGTTTGCCCGGTCGAAAAACAGGGTCGTCGACTTGGAGATCTCGCAGAAATCCCCGCCGACGAGGAGTAGCTCGTGCCTAAGCGGATTCCTAAGTCTTTCTCGAATCTAGCAGATAATTGCTTCGAGTTTTCTATCGTATTTTAATTATTCGAGATAGCACAATTAGTTAGTAAATCGTTAGCGCCAAGTTTCGAGATTTATATCGCGTGTTTCTCAAGTTGATTCCATTAAATTTTTTAATTTATAAAATTTGCAGAAAATGAATATATCTATTGTTTTGGTAACACACTAGACCAAAGAATAAAAATTTAACATGTTATTAAATTAATAATTAATGATTATGTTTATTCAGTAAATAGTAATTAGGAATATGGAAATAATCCGGATTAAGTTTTATTATTGATTATGATTAAGTTACAAATTATTCAATAAAAATATATGAATACAATTTTGGATTATGTGATCGATTTGAAATAGATTTACTAACATAAAATGTAATAACATTTTATCCAACGTCTTTTATATATGTTTTATTCTATATATGATTACCGTTTAGTAATTAACGATTAATAATTAAACTCGAGAGGATTATGTAATTAATGATTATTATATTCCCTTTATTAATTAATCAAAAATAATTAATCATTCTCCAGCACTAATAAAAACGTGTAGGTGCGAAATGGGTTGTAAACATATTTTAGAACATCATTTATACTATATAACATTATACAAAAAAATTGTCTGCATATATATATAAAATATATGAAGAATTTGATTGCGTGCGATCGATTAGAGCTACTTGGGTCGACCGTAGAATACCTCGCATAGAATCACGTGCCATCCGTCTTTCGATTCGGGAGACGATTCGCTCGTCGCAAAATTTATGAGTTGTCAGATTCCGACTCCCCACGAAACAAAACGGCCCGTCGCGGGCGGCCGTCGGCGATCCGTACAAAGACAGCGGCTGAAAAAGCGTCGCGAGTATTGACAGGTACGGTGAGAAACTACCCGAGTTAATCGCAGAAAAAGCTATGGAGTCGGCGACGAGCTAAATACCTCGGTTCGCTCGTATCGAGCAATCGAGAGTAGAAAAAGCGGCTGTCTTCGAAACAAGACCAGTCGCTGTTTTCTCGCCAAAGTTTGCGACGATTAGTGTACTATAACAACGAAGAAAAAGCGAAACAATAATACTGTGCAATTAATTTAAAAAAATTAGAAGAATAATACAACGTATCTCTTGAAAATTATATGTATCGTGGGCAGATTAAGTTATATAATTCCTTGAATTTTTTTCTCCATACCATTTGGTGCGATTATTCACGAGCACTAGCGGTTTCATGCTTAGTTTTTATTCCAGGATCAACGACGAATTTTTTTAAATTTGCAAGGGAGATTTCAACCCTCTCTCTTCTCGCCCCCAAGTATCCGCTAGTGTCACGAGCATATCCTGTCTTCTCGTTTCAGCAGCAGAAATACCTCAAGAGGACGGCCGAGGATTTGGAGCCTGCCGGTGCTAGCGGCGATGGCAGCTTCGGCGAGCCGCCGGTCAAGCTGCAGTGCACGCAGGGGCAGCATCAGCACCAGCAGGGTCCAGGGGCTGGTGGTGGCGGCGGACCCCATCACGGCCACGGCCAGCATCAGCCGGGGAACGGTGCAAACTCGACAGGCCCGACGCCCGGCGGCGGAAGTGGTACCGGTGGCGGTGACGAGAGCCTCAAGTTCCAAGTGCAGATTGTCCAGCAGCTAGAATTCACGACCTCGGCGGCGAATAACTCTCAGGCGCAGCAGATCTCGACAAACGTAACAGTGAAAGCGCTGACAAACGCGTCTGTCAAGAGCGATCTTCTGAACGCGTCCTCCTCCCCGAAGCCCGGGACGGATACTACCGCGTCCGCTGCATCCAGGCCGCAGACCGGAAATGGTAACGGCCCCGGTGGTCCCGGTGGACCTGGTCCTGGCGCGGGTCTTGGAGGACCTGTTCCTGGCAACGCTGGCGGCAGCGGCGGGATTGGTTGCGTCGATATCGGTAACCTGGTGGAATGCAAGCAGGAACCCGATAACGAGTTTGTGGATCTAGAACAGTGCGCCGCCGCGTTGGAGAAGGATGTCGCGGCGAACGGCCTTCATGGGTTCTCCGAGTTTATAGGTGATGACACCAGCGATGAGATTATTGCGTCGGATGCGTTCAAGGATCTCATCTCTGAAATATCGGACTTTCATCCGGAGTTCATGAAGGACTTTGATTTCGAGGATAAAAGCGTCGACGCATTGGCGAACAACGCCGCGGTGGCGGCCGCGGCCGCCGCTGCTGTTGCGAATAACAACAACAATAGCAACAACAACAACAACAATAACAACGGGCTCCCGACGAATAACGGACAGATCAAGATCGAGGATGACAAGGATACGATACATCCGCAGCAGCAGCAGCACCCGAACAGCGCGAACAACGTCAATAGTAACAACGTCGGTAATAACAACAGCAACGCTATGCCGGCCAACTCGAGTCCGGGCACTCTCGCTTCCTCGCAATATTCACCCGTGCGACTCGCTTACACCGGACTGGACTTCAAATCAGAGATGAATCCCGCGGCCCAAACCCTCAAGCAGATGGCCGAGCAGCATCAACACAAGAGTCAACAACTGGGTCTGGGCGGATTCAATCCTACGGCTGCCGCAGCGGCTGCAGCGGCGCGAGGCCCCACAGCGAGGTCTCCCTACGCCGAATTTCCCCAGTTTGGTGGCGCGTCCGATTACCTCGGCAGTCCCGGCAGCACGGGCCCTACTGGCGGACAGAATCAGGCCGCGTCCACCGGGACCGGCTCGTATCACAAGAACAATGGTACGCCGACCTTCCAGAGTCAGCAGACGAACGACATGTTCGTCGGCTCGCAGACGCAATTTGCCGCGGCGGGTCTGACGGACATGAAAAGGCCTCAGCCAGCTACGACGGGCGGAAAACCCAGTATGCTCGGACCGACCGGTGGCTACAAGCAACAGTACTCGCCGTACGGTAGCCCGGGCTCGATGCCGAATCACGGCAGTCCGGGATACCCCATGCCACCCAGAGGATCCCAAGGTGGCGGACCGAATCAGACCGGCTCGCAAGGACCCTTCAATACGAACTCTACACCGCCGAGACCTCCTTCCGGACCTGGTACTTCCACCTTGCAGATCAATCAAGCGCAGCAACTGCACATCAGTAATCAGATCCAAGTAAGTGGAATGTCTTTTTTTTTTGCATGAAATCGATTCCTACAATCTCGATTTATTTTTATACGGAGAAGCTGTGCATAATTTTTGTTTAATTAAATAACCGCGAAATGATCTCGAAATGTTCTTATAATCATTTATTATCATTTATCGCCTTTTTGATTCTCAATTATCACAGAACGTGGATGAAACTTGCCGCGTTGAACTGCTCGAACGAAGCAGATTCCCTCGGATTAAACAAAGTTTCCTAACAAAAGTTATCCGCGCGTATATCTTCCTCGACTGAGATGGAATTCGTATCGAAGCTCCCAAGTTTCAACACACAGAGCGAAATTCCCTCTCGGTCAGCGGGACGCCAATCGCCGCTATCGCGGCAATCAAGACGGAGTAGCGCGAGGGTAGCGAAGCTATAGCCCCGAAGAGAAAGAGAGAGAGAGAGCTACTCGAGGCCGAGCGAGTGATATCTGTTGCGCCGCGATGACGCGTCTATTTTTGTCGGCGGCATCGCGGGGCGTCGTTGGTGACGGCGGCAGCGGCGACGTCGTCGTCGTCGTCGACGAAGGGGTGGTTGTCGGTCGTCGATGAAACGGGGGTAGGAGGGGGCGCCGGCGTCACGGGGGCGCCGCAACGCGCAACAAGTAGTCTCGTTTCTCCCGCCACCGTCGACGGGCTCCTCTTTATAAATTTTCCCTCTCGCCGGAGTCCACCCCTGCTCTCCCTCTCTCTTTCTCTCTCACTCTTTCTCCGCGCCGACGCTTCTGGACGCCAGGTGGGGGAGCGGAGGGGGTGGTTGCGCGCACAGCCGGCGTCGCGACGCCACCGCCACCGTCTGCTCGATTTAACCCGCGCCTGCAATCCGCGTCAATACGCTCCGGAGTGGTTAGTCGCGGGGCTGCGCTCGTGACAATACGCACGCGACACCGTCTCGTCACGCGACGAGCTCATCGGCAGCGAGATAGAGTCCAGCCACATCCCCCTCCGTTTATTCGTACAAAGGATTTCACCTGGACGGATGAAAAGAATCGCTCGTCGATGCGCAGAGAGCCGGCCCGATTCAATCCGCAACGTTAAACGATTTCAATGGATGCTCTCTGAATAACTGTCAATGGACGCATGTATTTATATATATATATATATATATATATATATATATATATATATATATAGATCCACGTGGACGTATATCTCTCGCATAAACAATGGAAATTAATTGTCAGGAACGCCGACGCGATATAATCGAGCTCGATATTATTCGTACAATCTGAAAATTACAATAACAATTTTTAATAACAATGATAAATTATTAAATTGAGGCCATGTGTAACGAGCAATACGATATTATTTTATTATTTAGAAGAAAATTCTTAATTTGAAATAATAATTACACAAACGTTTCGAGCTCTACTTGCTCCTCTTCAGTGCGCAAAAAAAATAGTGATAATAAATAACTCTTCTAAATAATAAAATAATATCGTATTGCTCGTTACACATGGTCTTAATTTAATAATTTATCATTGTTTTTATTGTCATACGAGCTTGAGCATTGGTATGTGATGGTTTGATTAGGTATTAATTTTGCATTAATTTTTAATAATAACGATATATACAATTTTGTAATGTACGATATTTGAATTTAGCGAGCAATTTCCAGAGTAATCACAGAATCCGCAAAAGATTCTCCGTTGAAACTCATATGGTCAGTCGCGCCGCGTTTTCTCTTTTACGTTGTGAATTCGAGGGCAACTTGCTGACCGAGAGAAAATCGGTGGTTCTCCGGCGCGAGATAGCCTCCTCTATAAAATCCCCCGGTCCATTGTGGCGGCTGCTCGGACAGGTCTTATCTGCTCGTATACCCCCCAACGGATTTGGACTCGGAAGCGCTCTTAGTCGTACGAGCACGTTCCTCCCTCTCGTAAATCACGTTAGGTGGCGTGTATTTGCATCTCAATGCGACGCGGTGAATGACGCCTCCTTTTTCTCTCCAACCGGAAGACCGCCATTCTCTCTGGAGCCCTTTCTACCCTTTGGGCGCGTCTCCACCTTTCTTTTCGTATTTAATTCTATCGGCTATTTTTTCATTCTTAACACGGCTATTTTTTTCCATCTCATTCGAATCGATCGAGCGCGATATATTACCTGCGCAAATGTATCGTTGCGGAACAACGACATCATTGATATCAGTAACACGATATGGAATTCGCGCAGAGATTGGGAGAGATTCGCTACGCGATACGATAATAGGGATCACCGCGTGCGATATCGTACAGTTATAATTAATCATTCTCGAGCGTTCTGAATCATTTAACCTCTTCCGTGGGATACCGATGGCGGGATCGATATAGGTTTCGTTACCGGCGGGATATTATCGAGGTTCATAAAAAAAAAGAAAAGGGAAATTTCTGCTTCTTCACTAAAAACGGATATCGATGTCGGGATTCTCGCGTCTGACAAAATCGCGCCGGACGAATCTCGAACATATCGAGTCGTAATCGGGGGGCGAAATAAAATCGGTGACTTTTTCGTACTTTCCGACGTAAATCTTTTGTGCGGAGAACCGTGTCGACGTGTCCTTTAGTTAGAAAACTCGCGAGTTTCGCCCGGAGGGCTCACGATGTATGTCGTGTGATCGATTTACATACCGTTACACGTTAACTTTCCCACGTTCTTTTCGTCATCGGGGATCTGGCTCTCCGAATCGGCGTTGTTATCGGAACGGAAGTCAAAATGGAGCCATGTTGTTAGCTTATCGAAGCTTTGGAATTAACTCCTCCTCTTTCACATAAGATATACTTTGGAGTCGCTCACAATCCAATACGAGGAACCTTTTCTTGAATGTAGATTAAATTGTAGGAAGGAAAGTGCAAAGTTTGGAGGAAGTTAATTAGAATCGAAAAATTCGATTCATCCGTAATACCATTTGATTGCCGTTTCTGTAAAAGTTATCATACGATACTCATTTTATCGGCTAATAAAATAATTCTTTATTTATATATACACACACACATAATATGTCGGATATAGAAATTAATTTATACATCGCACAGCGGAAAAGCAACGAAAGTGTATAATCGCGGGCAGGGAAAATCGACGTATCGGAATGCCGTGCAAATCAAACGTGTGCCACGACGTAATTCGTACAACTCATTCGGTAAATACAACGCGATCGATACAATTTGCGAAGCGTAGCCCATTTTCCTCCCCCCTTCACCCTCTTCGTCACCCTTCTTTTCCCCACTTTGTGAAAGGGCGTGTTATGTTATGGGCGTTAAACGCCTTTTCCAACGTTCAATCGCGCGCGGCCGTTCAATGCACACTCGCAGCGAATATTAATTCACCGCTAATTACAGAATTCGAGAATCGTAATGTCGGATAAGCGTTTAATAAGAATTTAGCCCAACGCGTGTTATATCGGTCCGCGTATTCGCGATTCGGAGGCAAAAAGGAAAAAAAACATGTCGCTGTCAACCGTGGCAAAGTATCTTCCGAGGAGGAGAATAACGCGTGGAATGGATTTCGTGGAACTTTCTTCGTATCGCGAGCTATGTCGGGAATTTCACGCAGATGAAAATGCTTCCAGTGACGCAGCTGACGAGGGTTGTTGCGTTCACTTGGACGCTCATCGCGTATATATTTACTTTCATCCCCTTAGTGTAAGCGGTAACAAGTTTATGACGAATTGAAAATTAATCGGAACGTTAACTGGGAATTAAATTATTTGGTCATTAAGTAATAGTTCGAGTAACATTGATTTGTTTTTCCTTTATTTCTATAAATATTTCTACACAGAAAGAATTTGCTCTTAGAATTTATCCTGAAAATTATAGTAATTCTGGGATAATATGGTATTGGAAGAATTTTATAAGAGGTTCTCTGATTGATATTTACCATGATAAAAAAATATTAATATCCACCGCAATAAGATATAAAATATATTCGATTAATTTTATTATGTATATACGCGTATCAATATTTTTGTTGTGGTAAATATTAAGTCAGAGAAACTCTTATAAAATTCTTTCAATACTATATATTGTTCTACGATTACCATGATTTTCAGGATAAATTTAAAGAGAAAATTCTCTTCGTGTATAGATGAAAATTCCAGGGTGATTCTCGACTATTATTTAGGCATATTATATTGTTGGGAGATTAATTCTCCTATATTCGATTTGACATTTAATTTCTCTCGATCGTTCGATCGATATCTCGTTCGGATAGCATCGCGGCAAGATGTTCGCTGTCGAAATAAAGCGGGGCGACCGCATGCGGTTGGTAACCCCGTCCTCACCTATGCAAAACAGCATCCGCGGATTAATTGACGAAATATTCAAATTATACCGATTCCGAGGCGCGTATCAGGGCTCGGTCACACCGCGCATTCAAATGATAATGCGAGTACGAGCGTTGTGCTGCGTCGAGCCTCCTCCTTCCTGGATTTGACATCTTTCCCGCTCGTCATCGAGAAGATCGGTGAGATATCGCGGGAATCGACGAAGGGGTTATCGATGCCAGCGACGTCAATCTACATACCGTAATGAAGGCAAGAAGGACGTCGTTTCCTTTCTATATAACCTTCATCTTGACCCTTGACAAAGTCCACGTCTCCTGTCGCTTCGCCACGTCGCTGTACAATTGCGCTTTACGAACTGACAGTTCGCTTTTGTCAAACGAGACATTTAATCGTTACAGCACACAAGACTATCGGCTGTTTTTTTTTTCACGCACAAGAGTCTCCCTTCAATGTTCAGTAAAATACTTTGACGACGATTCATGATTGTTGCTGTTTGCTGATAAAAAATGTTGCATCGGTATTTTATGTGCATTGATGTGTGAGTATACATATATATATATGTATATATATGGGTGGTATCGTGTTTTTGCAGCAAGAGCGGATGCACTAGGGCGCGCGTATATATTTGCACACTCATACGCGGTGGCGCTATAGAATCACCGCTCGGTAGTGTGCAATGTTGTTCTCAATTTGTTTCTGCACCGTGCGTGTA